TCTGCTATGATTCATTGTGGGGCTTTTATTGCTTTTGATTTTCAATGCATGTATATGTATTTGGTTTTTTTTTTCAAGATTAATTCAAAACTGAAAGGAATCTATTGGCTTAAGTAGATGAACAGTTCAGAGACAATGATATTCAGAGAGTTGAATCAGGTCTCCAGTTCCATTTGGTGGTGGTAGCTCAGTGCTGACATCTAGACTTCTTTTGGTAACACAATAGCAGTCATAGCTCTAGGCTTTTAATGGACTTTCCACATGAACAGTGATGGGGATTCTCCCCATCCCTATCCCCCCCCCCCCCCCCGCCAAAATGCCTTTGTATTTTATAGGGTAAAATTGGTTCAATCATTATGGTCAGAGAGCTGAGATGAATTGATTGGCTTATGTCAAACTTGACCCACCCTTGAAACATCTTGGTTTGGGGAGGGGGCCAATAATATTCTGGGAGGAAATTAGGGTTCTCTTGAGAAGCAGAGATGAATGATGAATGGTTCAACATAACTAATGCCTACTATGGAGAGAATTCCCTCTCTTCCTAATAGTAACAGGTACCTGATAATCCTTGAACATTCTTGGTTGTTGGCTGATTGGATTAAATGTAAATTTCTTAGTTTGGTTCAGGGGGTAAAGAATACTATTCATATAAGGAATATGACTCTGATAAGGAAGATTAAGCAGGAAAGTACCCCCATACTCTGTAATGAACTTGGGAATGTAAAGAAAAATTGGTTAAACCATAGCTTGTTATGTCACTCTTGGACATGACCAAGAATTTCAGGCTCTGGAAGACTGTGTGAGGAAGAGAACTCCTGGATGTTCTTCTGACTCCCAAACCCTCCAGACATCTACCACAGATGCCAGAAATTATGTCATTTCCTGTCAAAACGAGGTTGACATGTACTGTAAGAAGTGCTCCTAACCTCCGAGAGAGGGCTACATTTGGTATTGTCTATCACTGATGCTGGAGAGTTGGTTGGCCAGATCCTTTAGACAGCTGCATGGGAGGAAGTCCTGGGTGTGGGAGTGCTGGGTGGAGGGCATCTGCAGTGGGGTGACCCACTCAGCACAGGGCAGTGCTGGGAGGAGGCAGTACCTGGTGAGGATCAAGTAAGGTGGGTAAAGAGAATCCTTAGACACTGGAGAATAAACTTCTGGCCTGTCCCTTGGAAGGGGAACCCCAGATGCTCTGAGCAACATGTAACTCTCTTGCCAAATTTGTAAGCCTCCTCCATTGCCTCTGACTGACACCCGTAGCTGGAGGAACACATGGGACACGTGGGCTGTGGTCCAAACTATCCCTATGTCTGCTCCCACCAGCTGAGCACTGCTTCCCTGGGGACAGCTGGCTTAGTTCCCAACCCTGTTTATGCCAGTGAGACTTACTATTGTAATTATGTGATTTAATTAAATAGTATACCAACCAACTCAATACTGTTGTATAAGAAGGGACCATTTCTAGGAGATCTGAGAGGAAATGTTGGAAAGATTGGGAGGAAAAAACTAGGGATTTTTTTTAATGCTATTAAGTTAAAGGTAGGTAAAACAACTATAAGCCATTAAGACATCCAAAAAAACCTAGGGAGTTTAAAAAACATATACTCAGATTATTTTGCAAGTATATCTGATCTCTCATTCCACTGGGATGGAGGAGGGACAACTGAAGTTGTAGTCAAAGCCATTTGAATAAGATTTATGCACAAAGATAAAGTGAACTATTCCATCCAAGAGATGCAAAGTCAAAGAAAAGGCATCTACATGGAAAGTTTAGTAAATAAATGTCAAGTGTATGTTAGATGTTAAGATGTTTCAATTAGCTGACCAATCACACCAGTTAAGAGGCCATCTGCCACACATGGCAGCCATGGGCTTTGGCTCTGAGAACCTTACTCCTACTCCTTTGGACTGGAGACTGGAATGCAGAAATAGGATTACATTTCTAGGCCATAGATGCATACACAAAATCAAAAGTATTCAAAGAGAAATAGGAGGAAAGCTGAGGATAGCTTCCTAGTGGCCCTCCAAGAACCTGGAAGCAAATGCTACAATCCAGCCTGCCTCCTTTCTCCCCTCCCCCAGGTGTGGTGATTGCACAGCTACCCAGATCCTCAAACTCAGTTATCTATCTGCCTTCAGGGTTGGTGACTTACAGCCCAGGTTCTGTGGTACCAACATTCCTACCTCTGTAGCTCCACTTGGAAGTGCCCTACCCCTGCAGACTCAATGACTGTCTGCTGCATCCCAGGAGTCCACCCTGATTAAAATAGAGATTTTAATGTACTACGATGGGGGAGCAAGGAACAGGAAGTCCTACAGATCAGTGACACATGGTGTCTCTGCCCTCCAGGTCTGCTGGGAGATGGCCCTGTACATGTGGAACTGAGACACTGAGATGGAAATGCTACTAGGGCGATTGGGAAATGGATGTCCAGGTAAACTTCTGGCAGGGCTGGGATCTAAGCAGGAGCCTCTGGGGTGCAGAGAATCAGCCAGGCAGAGTGCTTATATTTCCTACAAAACAGGTAGTACTGCCTTGGCCTGCAATGTGTGATATTTTCCCTCGGGATTGTTTGTGGACACCACCCCCATACTCTCTTAAGGGGAGCTGATTCATGGGGGCCATCTCTTCCCACCATACCATAGCAACTCCAGAGAAGCAATGACAGCTTGCCCAGGCCTCAAAATTGAATGGCACTGTTGGTAGTGCCACATGTGGTTAGAATGGCCGAGTCACCCCGTGGCTGCTGTCCCAAGTGGCTATTAATAGTATCCCCTTACACTCTGAGAAGTGGCCTGCTTTGGGTTGAGATATGTATGATCCCTCTTTACTCCATGTTAGAGGTGGGAGTGGAGGCGTTTAGCTCTAGGAAGACAGAAGGCAAAGCTGAAGGGACACGAGTCTAGTCAGCCTTCCCTCTGAGCCTGCCCAAAGTTACCCCATACCAGTCTATCACTTGTTCCATGTTTGTCATTGCTGTCATAGTTCCTAAAGCAGAGAGAAATACAGACATTGAACATCCCCATGGTGCAGGGTAGGTAGAGGGAGAACTTTCTAGAAAGAAAGCATGTTGAGATGGAGGAATTTGTACAGAAAAATAGTACAGAGGCAAAAAACCCACAGTAGAAACAGGCACCAAGATTAGACCGTGGTCACTGAGGACAGAGCGGTCTGCCCTCTCTGTGCTATCTGAGCTCAAAGTATCACCATTCCAAATATGTCACCCCCATAGGGAAGCCTTACTGCCTCCCAGACACCCTCCCCATGTACCCAGCAGACAGGAAGACTCTTACTCTTTATTTCAATTATATCCTTTTCCTGTGTCTGAGAAAACTCCTTTTTCCAAATCTAAACTGTTATTCAGTCTTGTAACACTGAGAATTGCTTGCTGTGGGAAGGCTGGTCTCTGCCACTTTGCCCTCTCTCCACTGCCCCAGGCCACCCGTGGTTGGGGCCCTTCCTCAGATCTGCCCATACCAGCCATACCTTCCTGAGGCCAGAAAAAAATTAAATGTGCATGACTGAGCAGAGAGCTGCGATGGGGCTGCCTGACCACAGAGATTAAGCCTTTGTTCCTTGGACAGGATCCCCTCCCAGGCTCAGGCTCCACTGTTGGCCTTGGCTCTGGGCTCAGCCTTCTTTCTTTCTCAGGTCTATTTTAAGATTCTAAGCCATGGTCAACAGAAATTCTGCCTTCCAAGGAGCCATCACCTCAAAGAGAATCTGACTGCCTGAGAAGACCATTTCCAAGACACACACACACACACACACACACACACACACACACACACACACACACACACACACACACACACACACACACACACACACACACACACACACACACACACACACACACACACACACACACACACACACACACCTTCCTTTTCCTCTGAATCAGACTAAACTGGCTCCATGCCCTAGTTAGCTAGGTGGGATCGGTTAGACCCTAGTCGACTCTCTATAAATATTTGCTGGGCTTCCCCAAAGCACCCCCACATTGGGCAGTTTCAGGCTTACACTGAGCAAATAGAAGAGAGGGGACCCATCCATTCTCCTCATCCTGACTCACCTTCCTGGATTGTTAACACTAGGTGTTGGGCTGTCATGGCACCTTCGTTAGAATTGATGTGTTGGGGTTGATGTATTTTTCTTTATTGGAGTCTATAGCTCTCATTAGGGGTACTTTGTGTGCTTTCTATGTTGTTTTTTTGGGGGGACAAATGTGTGAGAATTAGAGAATCATATAGGACAGTTTTATTGTTCCTCAAATTTCTTTTACCCATTGACTCATCTCCTACTCCCTGATCCCTGACAATCACTGATCTTGGTATGGTCTCCATAGTTTTCCCTTTTTCAAAATTTATTATAGAGTTATGTAGCCTTTTCAGACTGGCTTCTTTCACTAGGTAATGTCTTCTTACTGACAGCTCATTTCCAATGACTGAACACTGTAGTGTTGTTTGGATGTACTGTCATTTACTTACTCATTGGCCTACTGAAGGACTTGTTAGTTGCTTCTAGTTTGGGGTAATTATAAATAGGACTGCTGTAAACATTTGTGTACAGATGTTTAATTAATTTCTTAATTTATTTAGTGCCAGTACTGGGGCCTCGCACTTCTGCTTAGCCTTTTTGTTCAAGACTGACACTCTACCACTGGAGCCATAGCTCTACTTCTGGATTTTTTTTCACTTGTTAGTTGGAGATAAGAGTCTCAGACATTTGTCTGTGCGGGCTGGCTTCAAACTACAGTCCTCAGATCTCAGACTCCTGAGTCACTAGGATTATAGGTGTGAGCCACTGGCACCCAGCTTTGTGTACAATTTTTTTTGTTATTTTGTGTGTGTGTGTTTGTTTTTTGTTTTTGTTTTTTTTCAGTTAGTATGGTGAATATCTGAGAGTTTGACAGACAGATAGTATACTGCCCTGATTGTGCCTTTGAAGAAACTGCCAAACTGCCTTCCAAAGTAGCTGTCTCATTTTGCGTCCCCAGGGTGGCTGATTTTCATATCAGAGACAAAGCAAACTGCAACCCACCCTGCATAACTGCCAGAGGATTCTCTGAAGACTACCCCTGCTTTCCTGTCACCTAAAGTCCAAGGCTGGCTGGCCCACAGGGATGGCTTGTCACACAAGGCCTCTTCTCAACATCAAGGTATTGGGCTCCCTCCTACTAGTCTGTAAGAACTGTCCATGGGATATGGTCAGCTATCATTATGTGCTGGGCACTGGAGACTTGACAGCAAGCACCATGGCTCCCTTCTGGAGTTAACAACCCAGGGAAAAGCCAGGCTCATGTCCTCACCTGAGGCTCTGTACCTGGTGTTTCCTTCCATGTCCTCATTTAATCTTCACTTCTGTCTGGGAGGTAGGAGGTAGTTACCATTAGTATACCCACTTAGCTGGTGACAATCTCATGTAGAGAGAAGCTGAATCACTTGCTTAACTTACATAGCTGGTCAGTGGCAGGCCAGTCTGGCTCTAAATCACTCAGACATGGCCTCATAGAGCTGCAGATCCTGCCCACAGGGACCACTACCTATGCACCCCCAGCCCTGTTCCCAGGGAGTTATCTGCTTGTGACAGCCATCCTCCTGCACCAAGGAGTTTTACCCTACCCAGCACCAAGTATCTGCTACGGCTTATCTTCTTCCAAGTGCCATGGGAAAAATCACCAGGACACGGTATAAACTCACCCTCCTACTTAGGACCTGAGTAGAGCAGAAGCCCTCTGGGAGCCTAGGAATGGAGCTCTGCATTTGTCTTTAGTATGGCTTACATCACTTGCCTAACTGAGCTGTTAAGAGTGGGATTTGGAGGGCTCCAAGCACAGAACTTATTTTTTTCTCACAAAAAAATCCAACATTGACTGTGAGAAGCACAATACCAAATTGGTGGCACATGCTGAATTTTAAATGGTCTGCCAGTTTCTGGAAGAGAAAGGTTAGTGCAGATTAAAAGAAAAACAGAGAGAGTAAGTGAAATGTCATGAATTTGCATCAGATCCTAAGTCAGCCTCTCAACACAGGCCGCTCAGAAGAGGTCGTAGCAATGGGCAATAGGGCCAGGAGCTTAGACTATATCTGTATACTGTGCTCAGTCCTGGCCAAACAAGACCTAATACCTGTTTCAGCCTAACCATAAAGTGCCTCTATTCACAAACCATGTCTGGTGACTTCTCCCCTTTGGATGACATGCAGGCTAAATTTCACACCAATCTCTAAGACTGTGCAGTAAAAGTTGGGAAAGGCCAGTGAGTTGGGCAGGGGAAGTGTGTGTGTGGTGGGGGGGGGTCATGCTGTAATGCTGTTGTGTCACTAGCTAGATGAATGGGTTGGGAATCTGTGACTCTTCGTTGTTGTCTGGAAGCCCTGGTAGGAGAAAAACACAGGTGGGAAGCAGGCCTTCTCATGTCTGTAACACCATCAGGTAGCAGAGACCTTGGGCCATAATTGACACTCAATGGGATGAAGCTACCCTACCTGCCTGAGAGGTGTGTGGGAAAATACTTTTTCATAAAGCATCTCTCAACGGTTAGTTAATATTAATGTAAATGTTGTCATTCATATAGCTTTAACTTATAATTCTTTTTTTGTCAGTCATGGGGCTTGAACTTAGGGCCGGGGTATTCTCCCTGAGCTCTTTTGCTTACCACTTTGAGCCACAGCCCCACTTCCAGTTTTTCTGGTGGTTAATTGGAGATGTCTCGTGGGGAGTTTTCAGTCCAGGCTGGCTCATATCTCAACCTCCTGAGTAGCTAGGATTGCAGGTATGAGCCACAATGCCTGGTTATAATTCATTTTCTTAGTGCTACTGATAGTCACAAACTTTCTATAGGTGGGGTCACTGTATGTGAATGCTGGCCTCCAATTTCCCCTGTCGGTCTGCATCCAAGGAAGAGAGAAGAAGAATGGGACCTGGGAAACAGAGCAATGTCAGAAAGAACTGTGGCTGCTGACAACACTGTCTAGTCAAAGGCCCACTGGGTCTCCCATCTCGGTGAGCAGGAGTCAGAGCCCTCTGCTCCTTGGATGAATGCTGCTTTGGTTTAATCTCTCCTGTCTGGGAGAACCATGATCATTCATCCCAACACAGGCAGCCTTGACAGCCTCTGGTCATGGAGCCAAGGGCTGGGGAGATAGAGTCAAGATGATGGCCTTTGGCCCATTGCTAGTATTCCTTAAGGATCTAATGAGAGCCAGAAAGCCCAGATCAGTGTCTGGAAAACCTGCCATGACTGAGTGAGAACCTTATCCTGATGTGAAGGCATAGCTGATAGATGAGTCCACCCAGCACTTGAAGGAAAGATGAGTGGGGGAAGTGCAATACCTTGCAATGTTGCCAGCTGCCTCCATCTTCTCACCTCCAACTGTGATTTTATTATCTGTTAGAGTTGGTATGGCCTTTGGTATCCTGCTTCCTCTTTAACAGATAGAAAGATGGGGGTAAGGCTTATCCAGCACTGCTGATGGGCTTCTCCTTTCTACAAAAATTGAATTTCTTTCCCCCCGCCCTTTCTTTTATTTTTACTTGTTAGACTAATTTCTTTTTGAGACACATTCCAAGAAAAAAAATCAGGGCACTGAAAAAAAATTACCCATGCTATTTATTCACTCACTCAGAGAAGCTGTTAGTTCTAATGACCTTTCCAAATTAGTAAAATCTGTAAATGCTCAATTGTTTATTGCACACATTGAGTTGCACCTCTAAATGACTGGAGGGAACTATAGGCCTGGAATATTTAGCTCCAGGGCTCTGCAGCCAGCAGGCTTTGTACCCAGTTAGGGGAGCTGTGGTTCATATTCCCTGAGAAAAGGAGAAAGGAGGAGGAGACACTTGAGTAGCCCACCTTGTGCCCAGCCCGCTGGCAAAGTGATAGCAGTAATCCTTGTCCAGGGATTTATTCAGAGGCAAAACACAGATATGAATATTAGTAGTGCCTGAGCAAGTACCTGACTGCAGGCTATGGCAGTCAGAGAATACAGCATTACGAGGTATCTAGAAGTTCACTCAAAAAAGACTGGAGGTGTGGGTCAAGAGGTAGAAAGTGCCTAGGAATTATGAGGTGTTGACTTAAATTTTTAGTATTGACAAAAGGAGATTCCAAGGGAAGTGGGATTTGATAGCAACCCAAAGAAAGTAGAACCAGGCCAGGTCACCAGGAAAAGGGCTTTCTACCCAGGGAGCAAAGGGAAATGTCACTGGAGGCAAGAGTCAAGGTGAGGCTGTTCCCAAGAAGAGCTGACACAGGAGGGCAATAGTGTCTGCACTTCAAGATGTGGGTACAATAGTGTTCTTATAGCATCCATCTTCCCCCTACCCTGCCTGCCATTGGACAGACATTGTGCTTTGAGCCACACTGAGCCCCATGTCCTTTAGTGCTGGTGACAGTATCTCTTTCTAACCTCTGTAACTTCTAAGACTTTCAAAATGAAAATGGACAGAACTCATGCAGCAAAATGCTATGCACACTGCCCTACTGTTTAGTGATGACTTTTTAAATTTTAAATTTAAATTTTTAAAAATAGAAATAGTTCACAGAAATGGTAGATCAAAGGGTGAACAAATGCAACAGTGGTACTCACTAGACACTATGTTGAAATGAATACAACTTGTGAGGCTGGATCGGGAGGGAAAAACTGGGAGAAAGTGAGGGAAGAAGTGACACAGTTCAAAAAGAAATATACTTATTCCATGACTTATGTAACTGTAACCCATCTTTACATCAGCTATACAAAACTATTAAAAAGTAATAAAAATTGAAATGATATATATACACATGTATATTCCATCTTTTTGATTTTTTATATTTTTATTGAAAGATATTGTACAGAGGGTTTACAATTACATGAGTAAGGTAATGAGTACATTTCCTATCGAGCATTGTTACCCCTCCTTTGTTTTTGCCTACTATCCATTCCCTCCCCATCTCCCCGACTCCTCTCTCCCCCCACCCCCTGAAGTTGTAGAGTTCATTTTCAACATAGTGTCTTGTACATCTCATTGTTACAATAGGTCAACCTGTATCCTTGTTTCAGTATTTTGTGATTTCCCTTCCCCTCCTTAAATTAGAAAAATGTATAGGCAAGATGCAGGACTCCGAATCAAATACAATGACTACAGAGGTTTATATCATAGGAGGAAGAACATACAAAAGAAACAAAAAAATCACATAGCACATTAAAAACAACAGCAACAAAAAAACCCTCTTCTGTCCATATCTTGAGGTTCATTTCCCTTAGCATCATCTTATATGTTCATATATACATAGCTTTTGACCTTTTCTGCTTGTCTGGTAAGATTATTCTAGACATATACTAGTTTATTCAATCATTTTTGAATGTGTGATTCTATGGCATGAAGTATATTCACATTGTCATGCAAAACATCACGACCACCCATTTCCAGAACCTTTTCACCTTCCCTACTTAGACACTAACTCTGCTTTCCACTCCCCCCCCTCACCCTTGCTAACCACCGTCTACTTCCTGTCTCTATGAAATTAACTATACCTTGGACCTCATCAAAGTGGTATCATGCAGCACTTATCTTTTCTGTGACTTAGCATGGTGTCCTTGACATTTGTCCATGTTTTTGCACATATCAGAATTGTCTTTGTTTTTAAGACCAAATGCTACTCCTTTGTACATGGACATTGTTTTATTTATCTACTTAATTGCTGATGGCACTTGGGTTACCTCAGCCTTTTGGCTATTGTGAATAAGCTGTTAGGAACCTTGGTGTGAAAATATCTATTCAAGAATTTTTTAAGGTTTATAAGTGGAAAAATAAAAGGTATTTCAGGACTGACCTGGTGGCCCCCCTGTAGTCACCCCATTAGGAACAGATTTGACTTGGCTTATGTTGTGCCTGCCTAAGGTGCTTTCAACCAGAATGGAGCTATAAGTTCCCATTCTCCCAACCCTCCCAGGGACACTTGTCCCATACCACAAGGAGCTACTGTCATGGCTGTGCCTTCATTTCTTATCCCCAAACCCATCAGTCATGTCACATTTGTCCCTCACTGAAGAAGCAAGTGCTTTGTGCTCTTGCTTACTAAGTTCTTTCCCTCACCTTCTAAAATAGATTTAGCCATGATTGTAAAAGCCGGGGAAAGGAGACACAGTCTCCTGTCCGAGTTTCTTCACCTCCCCACCCCTTCCAGAAAATGTCCATATACATGGGCAGAACCAAAGGGTATCCTGTCTTGAAGCATCACTACCTCTAGGTGTTAATTGCCGAAACTCACATTACAACACATTAAAGCAGTGACATGTTCAGGCGGCAGGCAGGAGAATTCGCAGTTCAGGTTGGCATTGTCATTAACTCAAGTCTTCGGTGTCAACTCCCTCCCGCGCCAAGCGTTCCCGCCTGGCCTCACAGTCAACCTCCGCAATGCATTTTCTGGCCTTTGTTGGTTTGTGTCAGCTCTTGAACATTATTTAAACGTAGTTTGGGGGTCCATGAATGCAATTACCATTGTGTTATTATTCACAGGCAGATTGTTAAGATGCAGGCAGCTGTACAAGGAGATGCCCTGTGCTGTGAGGTCCAATTTAGGAGGGCCTTCAGAGCCGAGCGCGCATGGTTGCTAGGCAACCCCATGCTACAGAAGTGGAGGCCTGGCTGGCTTGGGAGTGGGAAGAAGCCCAGCGCCTTCAGGGAATTGGAGGCAGTGGTCAATCTGAGACTGGCAGGGCGCCGGGAGTGGGAGGCAGCAGCGTGGGCTGAGACCACAGGCCTGCAGGGTGGGGGCACCCACTCAACACTATGTTCCCAGGGAAGGGTGGGGGAGGTGCTGCTACAAGGGAGAATGGAGACAAGTTGCAGAAGCCCAAGGTCGGCCAGGAAAGCGCTGAAGGAGAGACACCCAGAGCAGATGCTAATATGCTTCTCCATCCCTTTCTTCTTTTTGCAGGAAATGAACAGGTTTACAGGAAAACCAGTGGCTTAAAATTGAAGAGTAAGGCGTGGGTGCTTGTGAGTATGAGTTTTAGTTGTCAAATTCTGTGGCTTAACAATGTTCCTGGAAAGTGGGCAGATTCCCTGATAGGTCTTGGGTGGACTGGCTCTGGGTTCTTCTAGGAGGTGGGTGGGGCTAACCCAGGCATATAAAACATCATGCTGAAGGACCATGTGACCATGTTCCAGTCCTGCTTCGAAGTGGAGAACATTCTCACTGGCTTGGCAAAAAGAGAGCTACCCTCTTGGCCTGTGAATTGGTGAGGGACAGAGCAGGGATTTTTCTGGGAACAGAGAGATGTGCATTTGTGCAGTTCTGTTTGCCACTAGATTGGCTTGATTTAGATCAGTAAATTCTCATTGAGGCCAGTTAACCATGTGTTAAACTCAGAACAATTATACATACCGATGCTGTCATCTGTCTGAGAAGCTCATTAATCACCAGGGTCAGGCATGACCCACAGGTCTTGAGCAAACCCTGAGATACAGAAGGCCCGGGCTTCACTTTGGAAGGGCTCTCAGCCCTGTGTGCAAAGAGAAGATAATCTGCACAAGAGACAATTAAAGAGCTTTCTGGAAAGATGCATGGGGTTAGCTATGACTCCAGTGGCACAGGCCAGAAACACTGGTGTTGGGGAATTATTAGGGAACACTTCAGAAAAGGAAAGACTTGATCAGGAAAAGGGAGGCCTTTCCTAAGAGGCAGGAGTAAGGCAAAGGCCCTGAAGGGGAGTTTACAAAGGCCAGCCTGGATGACAGCGTATGTGTGGGTCTACAGGTGAGGAACAGGTATTGGTGGGATTGGGCAAGTTGCGGAAGAGCTTAGAATAACAACATGAATGGCCCAGCTAGAAAGAAACAGCATGCATCTGTATGAAGAAAAATAAGTTTCTGCCAGTTTCTTGTTCCATCAGTGAAAAAGGTCGCATGGATTCTTCACCAAACATGAGATTGACTTTGAGATCAGTACTTGTGTACTGTAGACAGCAGCATTGGAGGGCCACCAGCTCCTATGAAACCAGTGGGGATATACCCTGAGCTCCAATTGGACTGCCATACCAACTGCCCACTTACTCTTCTCTAGAGCTGTGGTGCCCAGGTTGAGAGGAAGCTGGAATTTATTTATTTAATAAGGATTAATTGGGTATTAGTTACCCAGGAGGCTGAGCTCTGAAAATCTAGGTCAGCCTGTGTGGGGAAAAATCTGTGAGACTCTTATCTCTAACCAACAAAAAGCTGACCGGAAGTAGGGCTGTGGCTCAAGTGGTAGAGTACTACTAGCCTTTGGCATAAAAGCTCAGGGACAGTGTCGAGCCCCAGTGAGAAAAGGCTGACAAGTTCTAGACCCAATTGTATTAACTGGTGTATACGTAGCATTATCACCTTACAGCATACTTGACAGTCTTGCCTCATAGAATCTGGAGATTTCCATTTTGGAGTAAACTGAGGTTGGACTCTATAAATCTTCACTTAAGTTCTTTGAGTAACTGAGCTCAAACATTCACACTGACTTTGCACTGCTCCTGATAGACTATGGAGCAAGCCCTTCTAGGGCTGGTGCTACCCCTACTCACTTGGGAAGGGAAGCAGACTGATTATCCAGGGGTCCCTCAGGTTCCCACTGTTGGAATTCTCTCTGTTCTAGAACCCAGCATATTGCTGTCAATGCTTTCCTGGGTTATATGTCAGTCTGATGATCTTCCACAGGATAGGAAGGTGGTTATGATTGTTTCCCCAAAGCAGAAGGCTTTGTGTGTTTCTGACACCAGAGACCACTCTCTGCCATGAAACATGGGAGGTGCTGGCAAGGAAAGAAAATGAGCAGAAAGGCAAACTCAACAAACCAACAGGTTTTATTTAGGATGAAAAACTGGGAAGGGCAACCAAGTCTCCTTCAACCCAGCTGAAAAGAAAAGTGACCCTCTTTACAACTAGGGTCCCTTTTTATCAGGCAGAAAAGGGAGATGGGTAGAAGTCAGGGGTGATTTGTTTTGCATGGTGGGGACAGGATAGGAACAGGGAAAGGAGCTCTTTTTGCAAAGATGGAGGCAGAGAGTAGTCACAAGATAGGGAGTTTTAACAGTATCTGTGTCAGCAGATGTGTCTATACCTGGTATGGCCCTCCATCACCGGCCATTTCTTTTAAAGCCACAGGGTATGTTTGGGGAGTGGGGATGATTCAGGGAGATCGGCAGCAAGGGCAGTTCTGATCATTTTCTAGGATGTGGCTGTCAAGGAGGAAATGAGTATGTCTAGTTTCAGTTATTTTCCATCAGTATTCAAAGAGAGCTCTGGTCAGGGAGACAGGAAGGAGGAGAGGGAGGGAGATACTGAGTAAGGATGTATGCTCAGAGTGAGTTTTGGCTCCACAAAGTGCACGGCTATGATGTCTGGTTCAGAAACAAAGGTCAGCCACCCCAGACTCTTACTAGTGGTGCCACTTTCACAACATCACTTCAATCAAGAGCAAGGGGTTCAGGTGAAAACCATATACCACACTCCTAGCAGCCTGGAAAGAGGTGCTGTGTCAGGTACAGGAGACAGACCTGGGCAGGGCCTCTGTTTGCTGTCATGCTCATGGCACATGTCAGGTTCACCTGACCTGGTGTCAGTAATATTCATTACAGTGAAATTTGCTAGTTAAGGATGTAAGTATTAAGATAGAAATCTATAATGCCAAGCTCTGTTTTTATTGTGTGCTTTTTTGACTGAAATTTTAATTTTAAAAGGTAATACAGTTACTCTGGGCACCTGAGGCTCATACCTACAATCCTAGCTACTCAGGAGGCTGAGATCTGAGGATCTTGATTTGAAGCCAGCTGGCACAGGAAAGTCCATGAGACTCATCTTCAATTAACCCCCAGAAAACTGGAAGTGGCGCTGTGGCTCCAGGTGGTAGAATGCTAACTTTGAACAATAAAGTTCAGGACAGTGCCTAGGCCCTGAGTTCAAGCTCCACCACAACCACCACCAACAAAAAAAGGTAATACTGTCTCATGGCCTTTTTATTTGAAAATATTGAAAGGTCTCCTATAAAGAGTCTACTCAGCAGCCAGGCTCTGGTGGCTCACACACCTATAATCCTAGCTACTCAGGAGGCTGAGATCTGAGAATCATGGTTCAAAGCCAGCCTGGGCAGAAAAGTCCCCATGAGACTCTAATATCCAGTTACCCACTCATAAACCAGAAGTGACACTCTGGCTCAACGTGGTAGAGTGCTAGCATCAAACAAAAGAGTTCAGGGGCAGCGCCCATGCCCTGAATCTAAGCCCCATGACCAGCAACAACAAAACAAAAAGTCTACTCATTTAAACAAACAATTAAAAAACAGAAGGATGACATTGATCAAGAAGCATTACACTTATAACCTGACTTGTGAAATTGTACAACTACATCACCATCATTATCATCATCATCATCATCATCATCATCATCATCATCTCCTTCTCATCATTGGACCCATGGTGCTAACCTCTTAGAGATGCCCAGTGTTACCAAATTTTTGTATTACCTACCAAAAGTTTAAGTACAAAAACATCTCTGTGGTTTAGGCACCGTTGGATGACATACTGAGAAAGATGCTCCTTTCTCAGCCCCCAGAGTCTGCTGTTGGGGCTCTGGAAGGAGCTGGGCTGAAATAGGCCTCTTCTTTGGAGGGAGAACAATTCAGAGCCTGAGTGAGCTCTCAGTGGAATGTTCAGAATGCATAAAAACTTCTCAAACATTTCCAAATTCCTCAGTTACTGAACAAACAAATGATAGGACTGCAAATAATTATTTCTAATCATATACAATGATTATTATTTAAAACCAATCACACTAGGTGCCAGTGACTCATTCTTGTAATCCTAGCTACTAAGGAGCTGAGATCTTGAGGATAGAGATTCAAAGACAACCCAGGCAAGAAAATCCATGAGACTCTTAACTCTAGTTAACCACCAAAAAGCCAGAGGCAGAGCTATGGCTTATGTAGCAGATTGCTAACCTTGATCAAAAAAAAAAAACAAAAACTCAGGGACCAGAGCCTAGGCCCTGAGTTCAAGCCCCAATACCAGCACAAATAAGTTAAAATAAGCCACCACACATGTTTGAAAACACTACATTTTGGCCCTTGGAACTCCTCATTATTTAATTCTGTTCAAGAGTGAATTGAGTTCTACTGTGTTGTTCTACTGTTGTTGTGAATTGTTCCTGTGGTTTCCTTAGATTACATGATTTGAGTACAATTCGGAGACATGGGATTCCTTACTGGGAAGTGCCCTATTGTAGGTAGTGGAATTTGTTGTTGTTGTTGCTTGTTGATTTGTATTTTTAAAGTGAAGTTTATCAGCAAAATGATACAGGCAAACCTACACTATGGGACAGAAGGATACAAAACACTTCTCCTTCTTCTTCTTCTTTTTTTTTTTTTTTGAGGAAATAAAATTTGAACTCAGGGTCTCAAACTTCCTAGAAAGGTGCCATACAGATTGAGCCATACTCTCAGGTCCTTTTTCACTTTATTTTTCCAGTAAACTCTCAAGCATTTTGCCCAGAGCTGGCCTAAGACCATAAGTCTCCTGTCTGTACCTCCCAAATATCTGGGATAACACCACCACACCTGCTTGTTGTATGAGACAGGATTTTTCTAACTTTTTTCCTGGGCTGGCTTTGAACCTTAGTCCCCCTGTCCCCACCTTAGAATACTTCTAAGGTTCTGTTATAGTTGGAGCTAGCCCACGAACCTTGCCTGTCATGCTTGCCTTTATAGGTCATGCATTTACTTGATCCCAGCTCAAATTGTGCATATATCTTCCACATTTTGGTTTCACAGATTTGGTCTAATGCCTAGAAATTTCCAAAGAGAACTTATTTAGTATCCTACATATGTTTCCTCTTGCAAATGAGCTCCTGCTTTCAGTCTTCCATGTTAGAAGAAATCCTGTAACTCTTGCTTGACCTGTTCCAGCCCCAAGAAGGATTTTGGCGGCACCCCATGCAGTCTGGAAAAAAAATCTCATTTCCGCAGGAGAAATAGA